GCTCTTGTTATGTCACTGTTACGAATCCTGCACTCACTAAAATTCATAACATTCTGCTCACTTACAGCAATTTGACAGAAAAACAAATGAGAACAGAAAACTGAAGCTTTCCCATGCTGCTGAGTGCAACAATCATGAAATGAAATCCTGAATCCTAACTTTGAATCTCTTTTACCAACAGACAACACTCCCTAGAGAATACTTACTTATATGATAATTATTATTTTTCTAGTATTATGCTTACACGTTAACTTGCTGGTTCTGAATTCAGAAAACAGTGAATGATGATTGTAAAAGCAAAATATTACTGAAACACTATTGACTTTCAAAGAGTATGAGGAAAAATTAATTGGCAGATGTTTTACATAGCATAATTAACAGTTCATTTCAATGCTCTGTAACAAGATTAAGATAATTATGCTTAGAAACAGAAATGTAATAATGATAAATTACTAGTTTTCATATTCCGGTCAATCTCCTACATTCCAAATAATCACCATGTTTAGAAATAGGTGCATCTGTTCCATGTTGTCATCAGCTACACAAATGGCACAAACTCGTGGCTGAGTGAAACAATCTTTCAACGACGATACAGGCAATTTTCTTGCTTCAGGACTAAACGGAGCGCCTGTTCCATTTGTCAGCAAAACAGAAGGTAAAAACAGCAGTACTGTTTTCACCAGGGCACAGTTACTGGATAGAAGCTGAAGTTGCATTAGCAATTTGCATTTCTTACGGATAATAGATAACTGGAGAGTAAAGCTTAAATTCTGTGAGCTTAGCAAGTTACAAAATCTCCTCATATGGAAGTCCAAGAATAAGAATATGAGAATCTGTATTCTGTGATAGTGTGCAAAATATGACACTTTCCTATATGGGTAGTAAGAAGGAACTCTCTCAAGGATTTCAGGCCACAAATAAATTAAGAAAAAAGTGATTTTCAAGGCTTCTTTTATTACATCTATGAAGACTCTAACTTCCGCATCCAAGTGCCACAATATTAGTGTAAACCATTTCAAAGTAACAGTTACATGAAAGTAACCCCTGAGTGTTAATAATGTGTTGACAAATTAGGCTTTATATTTTGGGGTCTGCATTTCAATTTTATTTCAGGCCTTCCATTTTCAAGCATTTTTTTCTTTTTTAATTTTAAGGGTCCATTTTTCTTCTGTTTCCCCACAAAGACATAACAACAAAAAAAACCCACAACCATTTTGCCATTAAATTAAAAACAGACTTGTATTTCACCTCTCTCTCATTTCTATAGCTTCCCTGCTTTCATCACGCTTTTTTGTTGTTGTTTTTTTGCTTTGCTTTCTACTATCAAGTCCTTGATACTTGGAGACTAAAACCTCACAACTAACAGTACAAAGATCAGAGCAGGCACAGAAACAGAAATTGCAAGATTAGAAATCTCCTGAAAACTAGACAGGGGAGGAATAAATAGGGATTGAGGCAGAATCAAGGAGAATAAAGGAAAGCCAATGAAAAACACTTAAAAAAAATAATAATAAAAGTGTGACTGTACTATTAATGTGCAGCTGAGGAAAATTAGTTTTGTAGAACTGGCGTATCACACTTATCCAAAGTAAAGTAGATTGGAAAAAGGCAGGTAAATGCAAAAGCATTGTGCATTATAAATACCCACTGACACCTTTCACATTTAGTCCATTTTTTATTCTCACCCAGAAGTAGGCAAATTTAAAGAGATCTATTGTTCCTACTGTTGCTCTGAGCCTTCAAATAAATAGCAAAAAATCCCACCCCATAATGAAAGAGGAACCCAAGACATTACACAAAAAACATTTCTGTATTGACCAGCTTTCTAGCTTACTTTCCTCATTAACCAAGTATGTCTCCACATGTTTCCCAATTCATTTCCTTATTTCTGATTATTTTCTGGATGGATTTTCAGAAATCCCTAGCTACTCATATGCTCCATCCCTCTTGCATAATCCCTGGTTAACAAGCAATTTTTAGCTCACATCTATACAGAACAAATGAGAGACACTTGTTTTCTTTTGGTCTTTCCTTAGATGAAGTCAAGGTGTTGATCCCAAAAATAGTGGAGAAAGGATTTCACCATGGAACTTGCTACAAAACATTAACTTTGCAACAGATGAGCAATTGATTTATATAAACACCTTGTAGGCAATCTGCCTAATCTTAATGAGTTTTGGGGGCAGAATTTCAACTTCTAAAACTAGGACACTTTTATAAGGCTGCACGCACAAATGATTCTCAAATGTATTAAATTACAGGCAGAAATATCCTGGGCTTAGATCTTCGATCTCCTGACGTATCAGCAGTACATGGTAAGAAACTATGAAGATAAGGAACATACATACTCTAATGAGATGTACTAAAAAGATACTGTGAGGCATGTCTGAAACAATGATACACCCACGATACTGTAGAGACCTTATGCAGATGACTTTCAGACTAGAAGGACATCAAAAGCCAGAGGGATAGAAGTGAATATCGCTACATTCAACCTAAATGCCCATTTCAGCAGTTACATTCCATTGGCCAGAAACATGAATAGTATTGACCAACGTACCCTTGACTAGCTCACTGAGATGGCTCTTACATTTCTTCACCTAGTCTTTTTACTTACTTACTTGTTATCCCAGACACCATCTCACTATTGCTGGTAAGGCATTCTGACAAATCTAGACAAACTTCTTTTGTTTTTCAGCAGCCTAACTAATTTCAAATCCCAACATGAATCCTCTTAATTTCTCCACAATCTAATTTATTGTTTAATTTTGAAATAGGTAACTAACTGAATGGAGCTTTTTGAAGTCTGTTTTTAAGTAAGATACAGTATACCTTTAAGGTAATATATTATTGTTATATCCTCTGTTAATATTTCATAAAATAAAACTTTTATTTTAGAAAAACTTTACATATATTAGTATAATGTGTACTAAGATGGATGCTGTTCCACTGACTAAAATGAGGCATATAAACAGTATACAACCTCAATATACAGCCTCACTAACACATCACATACAAACCTGTTATAGCCTTCAAAGGGTTAAACTTGACACTACTTCCCATAGCTTCTTAAAAATAAGTAGCAAACATTGGTTTGCTATGAGGATACAATTGAGACATAAATGCAAACTGCCTAATTTCTGTGTTTGTATTTCAGGTTTCAGTCATATAATCACGATTTAAACAATTAATTTCAACAAGTAACCCAAGCTAACAGTCTGCTCCTCACATTCCAACTTTAGGCCTTTGGCTACGTATAAAAGATGTAATTTCAAATAGCAGTTCAATATACATAATAACTGAATTGTATATAATGTTCAAACACTATTTGAAATTACATTAAAAAACACATTTAAAATGTAAAGCTAGAGAGAGCCATCTACAGTATATAAGGTGAAAGGAGGGTCTGTGAAACTTTGATGGAGAAGTGCCACATCAATTTAAAAACATTTGGGAGTCTTCCAGTATGGAAAAGACAAAGCTCTTACCGTTTCCTTTGGAATTTGTGACTGGCTTTGTTCTGCATTCTGAAGGAAGTAAAAAAAATAAATAAGAACACGACTACATACGACATATACTATCTATCAGCAGGGGGATAAACAAAGGGCTCTAATTCTGATGCAAAGTGGTAATGGAAAAAATGAGGAGTGTTTGTCACACCCCTGATTCAAATTTGTCTAAACAAGCACTAAATAAGAGGTGAACAAAAATAACCTCAAGCGCTCTTAGGCCTGTGCACCCGACTTTATCTGGCTACCAGGGAGGTGGCTATCTGGCCAAGGAAGAACCACAGCTGCTTGCACCATTTTCTGGCTGGTGGAACGTTCTCATTCAGGGACGTTCTCCCTTGGCTCTTTCCTTTCGGCTTTGAAGTTTTCAAAGAATGACCTCAGCGGTCTAGATGAACCCTTCCAAATATTTTAAACAAGTACCTATTTTTTAAAACATCCATTCTCATTTTAACAAGGGATTCCCTTTTGAGCGTGTCTGGATGAAGCAGAACTACAGCACTGGATACCCCAGGACAGGAGGGTGCTGTAAGTCTACCACAGATGGGACCCTCCTGTACCTTGCATTCCTCACCTGTATCTCAGGGCATACAAGGTAAACATCTATCATCAGAAAACCTTTCTGCATCCCCCAAACAATTCTGGAAACACACATAAGGAACTACTACTCTTCCAAGCCCATGTCCACCCATATTAAAACCCCTTTGAGCACCCAGGAGCCACCTCACTGCTGCCTCGTTGATCATTTTCGGGCTAACCAGCTATTTCTTTCCATTCAGCTGGGCCAAAATGAAATGCTAGGGTATACTTGACTTTTTTGCTTTGGGCTGTTTTGCAGGTGATTCAAATTATTAAGCACAAAAATGTAGTGGAAAAGTAGTAACACAAACGTTAACTTAGCTTTAACCTGCAGCCAACAACCAGTAAGAAAAAAAAGATGAAGAGGCCAACGACCAGGAACACATAAAGGACCTACATGTATCAATGGGCATACTAACTTGTAGAGGAGACTAACTCTGCAGGCAGTCTCTGCTGATACTGAGAATTTAGCTCAAAAGCTAAATAACCCAAGTCAATCCTTCAGTGGATTCACGTAGTTAGTAGCAGGCTCTAAGAAAATCCTTCACAGCACATTATGTTTGGTTATGTGAGATAGCCACAGCATAACAGGAGCTCTATTTAACCAGAGTAATCCTCACCCTTTTCATAAATGAAGGGGGCAAGGAGAGAAGGTTTTTAAAAGGCAATCTGCCTCTGACACCAATGTGGACAAGCCCTAACATATTACCTATCTGGCATTAGGTAACTCTATTCTGAAGAAGCATAATCGTTCTTCCAGATCTCACTGGTTAGAAAAGTTCACTCCTGCCAATTTTATTTTATTCCTTGCTTCCATGTTTTACTCACTTTTACCATGATCTGCTGCACTGCATGATGGCTTTCGACCACACACACACACCCCCCCCCCTAACCTGACCACACAAGCTACAAAGATCTCATACTAACCTAAACGGGCTCACCTTAACATTCCCATAAGTTTTAGGTACAACTACACATTTCCGTAGGTCCCTTCAGACAATAATGGCAACATACATCAAAGACATTAAACTCCACAACTCCCCTGAAAGTTTATTATCTTGATTTTACTTATAAAGAAACCCAAGGATAAGTAAGTTTTCAAAAGACATTCAACAAGCCATAACCCAAACATAAAATCTAAACAGCTCTTTTATTTGGATTACTATCTGTACAAATGTTGGCAAATATAAAATGGTATAAAATGGCTTTAATACTGAGTGCTCCTCAGCAAGCAACAGCAATTCCTGCCCTTTATGAGATGGATAACATCAAATAACATGATTTTATGCATACGGTTTCTGAGACACATCTCATTCAGTTAATATTTAAAGCATACAAATGTAGAAAATATGACAGAAATAGGGGAAGGATGCAAAGACAAATTGTTCCTAAGTGGCCAAAGAAGGTTGATATGTGAAAAAGATGAACTGACATGATTTCAGATCATTCCTTTCCCTCCTTCAATATTAATTTTCCATTTTTTTTTTTTTTTACATAAAGCTAGTAAAAGACAATGAGAGGAGCTAGTTGAAAAGACTTTTTTTTTTTTTTTTTTGCCTTTTAAGATTATTTCTTACCAGAGAAGAAAGAACAGCCCTTAAGCTGGGTTTTAGTTCAACACCTTCCCCAGCAATTCTGCTCCTGCTCTTTGACAGCCATCACAGAGCTCACCTAACATTTCTTCATGTCAAAATGCAAACAAATGAATCCTTATGCAACAGAGGATCATCACACAAATGTACTGTCAGATCCTCACAATATCATTTGTTCAACTGGAGCTGCAGAAACGTACACCAGTTCAGATCTGATCTCTCACTACATAGCACAGAGCTCACCTACTACCTGACAGAGCCACAATGAGATCTGGCTTCCCTATGCTGGTGTTTGCCAAAACAGCTGAGAGAGTATCGCCTGAGCAGCAGCAGAGAGGCTACTGAGGCTGAACTCGTTAACAGGGGCTCATTTGCTGTTAACTACATCAAGTATTACTATTAAATTATTACTATACTCACATCATGTTTTTGTTTACAATTATTTAAACAAAATATTATGTTGACATGCATTATAACTTTCTCATCTTGATATAGAAATAATATACACAAAATTAAGACATTTTCTTACTTCTAAGTTTATTTAGAAAACTTAAAAAGCATTTTCATTCACCTTTATGTAAGATAGCAATACTGTGAAAATTACATCATAGGACCTCATAAACAGATTGTTTTCACAGTCTCAGTAATAAAGCAGGGTATAATATGATTTCAAATTGTTAATTTCTCTTCATTTTATGACAACTTTCACTCGAGTATCTGAAGTCATGTTCCAAGAATATTAAGGTAAAAGTGTGGTTCATTTGCAGCCTTCCCTGCCACTGACTTCCTGGTTTTAATTGTAGTTTTAAAGAAGTAAAAGGCTAATGTTCAACATCTTGAAATGGCCAAACAAAAATTCATTCTCTTTGCATTCAAAATAACACAAATCCAATAGAAAAACAAAGCAATCTATTAATAATACTTATATTTATCGCTTGTATTTGTCTATCTTCTCATGATAATACAGCCAAATAAGTTATTTTTAGAGCTATATATAGGTATGATAACACAAATAATAAATAACTTCATCATGTTTAATTGAATACAGAACAAAGTAAGACTGCTACATTGACAGCCTCCCTTTTTGTAACAGAAATTATCTTGAATAATTATCAGAGAAATATCTGTATACACTATGCAAGTGGAGCAGGTACAGTATGAAATATCACTTTATTTCCATTTCATGTAAATTCCTCAGAAACTTTACCCTGCTAAATTAATAACTGCAGGGTTTCCATTCCACAGAGATTGCATTTATATTAAAAAAAGGTTACTATTTCTTATATTTTTGATAGAAAGGTATTTACATATCCTGTTTTGGCATAGTATTGTATGCTCTGAAATATTTTAGTGAGCAAGTACTGGGACAAATGACAGGCTTTCAAACACAAAAGATATGAAATAATCTACTTGTCTGCATGCATCCAAATAAAGTCCATCCAATAGCTGCTTCTATAATAAACATTTTCACTCAAAATAAAACTCTCACTTATACATTATTTAATTCTAATAGCAGATCTCAAAGAGAATAAAAAACATTCATGTAAAATGTTCTAAATCAAGCAAAATAGCTGTTTGGTTTTTTTGTTTTCTTATATTCAGTGCTGGCCATTCATGTTTGCTAGCAAGTGACAAGATCAAATCATTTGCTCATACTCATCTAAATCTCTTAGTTGCTCTCTATTTTACGCACCAGTTCCCTTGGATGGAATGTTTCTTCCTGTCGAAAAATCAGAAGGCCGACGGTCCCTCCCATCTTGGTGCTTCGCAGCAAGGACACAACTTCTTCTTGAGTTTTGCCTGTTAAATCAACTCCGTTAACCTGTGACAAAGGAAATATTACAAAATCAGTAAGATTCCGAAACAGGAAAAACAGTAGAAATTCACACCAAAAAGTCATGTGAACCATATGGGACAGTATTAAAAAAAAACCTCACTGAAGCAATCTGCTTATTGGCTCAGTATAGTTCCATTTAATAGAACTAATTAAACATGCATTCTTTACATACGAATACAAGACGCAAAGCCAACTAATTCCATCTACCACTGTTTTTTACAAAAAATTCTGCATAAAAATCCTTTGGCAAACTGAATGTGTGATCCAAAACTGGTCCTGTTTCCACATGGCTTGGTATTATACATATCTTCCAAATACATCTTGCACAATTAACTGTGTCAAAAGTAGAGAATAATTTTTTTCCTCCCAAATAACTTTGGAGCAGTTACTCTTTATTTTGCCTTTTTTTCAGTCATCCAGCCCCATGGCCTCCACATACCACTTTCCAGTACAGACACGTATGGAATACACACAGGTAAATTTCCCACTCTATGAGCTAACTTGAGTAACGGCGAAGCCAGAGAAAGAGAGGGTATTCTCAGGCTCACCTGTTCAGAAACATTTTGGAAATGTGAGACAAATCAGCTAACAGTGTTAAGCAAGAGACCATGGTGCTCAAAAGAAAATAGCAACCATCTTTTTCCTTCCCCTTGTAAGGTCACAGCTCACACAGCTGAGATGCCGTAACTGTTGTCTTAAATGATTCTCAGTCTCCTTCTACCCGTCATCTGGGTTACCCTGAATTACAGTAATTACAGAGGACTATCCTCCAGCAGCAATTCAAGCTGACTTCGCCAATTTTGCAGTAAAGTGAAGTTAGGGCTCTGAGAGGCTGTTATAGTCTCAGCTGTACCTCCAGTGTCATTTGGCTTAGGGACAGTAATGAAGAGCTGTGGGTGGTAACATCTTCTATCACTCCAGCTAGATTTGCAGGAAGATTTCTGCTGTGCGTCTATCTAAGAGAAATTTAATTCCCTTGAGGACATCCTCCCTTCAGGAGGGAAGCGGCCTTGATTCTCTGTAGCACTACCCTCCTTTTATATTGTCCCTTTCAGTTAATTCACTAAACCTTTTCAGCGTATTGTCTTCCTTATTTGGCAACATCTTCAATAATTTCTGGTCTGTCACTCCATGCTGATTTAATGCCACTTATTAGGTAGCAATCATTTTGCTTCAACTTACTCCTAAACAGCAATGCAAGACTATGACGCTATATTCACATACAGACATGTAAACTCATATTTTCATAATATGTCTGGGTACAGCTCTTAAAACAGTTATGTACTGAAAATGTAGAGTCCTTGATCTCTTACCTAAAAAAAAAAAAAAAAAAAAAAAAGGCCAAAAACCCCATTAAAAAAAAAAAAGCCAAAAAAAAAAAAAAAAAAAAAAAAAAAAAAAGAGGGAAACATTTTCCTGTAACATAAAACTACCAAGAGCCTTTGGAAGTGATCTAGTGTGTGGGCTCAGGCCAAAGCACAGACAATCAACATGTAACATTTCATCACCTCAATTAATCGGTCTCCAGCTTTTAGTCTCCCATCTTGAATAGCTGCACCTCTTGGAAGGATGTTTTTCACATAAATTGGAGCAGAGCCACCAATTGGGACATCTCTTGAAGTAATGCTAAATCCCAAGCCTTCTGTACCTGCATAAAGAATGTAGAATATTAATTGTTGAAACGCACATTTTATATTACATGTTATTTTTATCCAGCACAATGTTTGTACACCTCACTGATACAATCCATGAAAATACATATATAAGAATTAAGAATTACTGCATGGCAAAAAAAAGAAATAAAAAGCGGCATATATAGGAACGCTGTAGCTGAAGCACCGAATCTTGGCACAGGTGGCTCAGCAGGCCCTCCTTGCAGCAAGTTGATTTCCAAGTCATTGCCATATTTCCAGCTTTCTATTTGAGACAAGCTGAGTGACAAGGAATCCGAACAAAGCATATCTGATATCCTGTCATTGTCTTCCCCCTTGTCAATTTGGATCTCGTCAATGATCCTTTCTTTCTCTTTTGCAACTCTTTCAGCAATGCAGTCAGCCAACGCTGCTGGCCATGGGGCTTTGCCAGCTCGCTCATGGACATCAGCAGGTGACAGACAGAACCAGAGTTCAGTGGTCTCATTTCTTCTGCTCCAAGGGACCTTGGGCTGTTTTCTGCCAACAGGTCCTCCGCCCCAAGGCTTCACCCCAGCTCTTGATGGGTTCTACCCCACCTTCTGCCACACAGACAGGGAGCAGAGCCAGGCTGCCACTTCTGAGGTCCTGCTGTGCATCCAGGTGACTTTCTATGCTTGGATAAGACTAACTGAAGCAAAATGGAGACATCTGAGATGACCTGGAGAAATCCAGAGAGAGGGTCCTGTCAATATGGTAAATGAGACTCGCTTGTATTTCAGTGAAATTAGGCCCACAACTGCTTATTGAGGTGTACCTTAGGACCCCACCAGCTCTGGGATTCACAAGCTGAGAGGACAGACAGAAGCCTTTCCTACTATGCAGAAAGCTTATTTGTGATCCTTTCTTTGATGCAATCTGTTCAGCGTTATCAACAACATTTGAAACTCTGCACTGAAAACTGCTCCACCCCCTTCCCCCTCAAGTATATCCAGGACACTTAATCTAGCATGAAACCAGACAGTCGTTCAGCAGAAAGCACCCCTGACAGAGGGTCAGCATCTACAACTTCCATTTGAAACATCTCAGAGGTTGTCAAGATATGTCTACAGTTCAAATGCACTAGATAGGCATACGCATACGCATGCCCGACCTACATTTAACCTGACCTACTAAGGCACCCTGCAGTTAGGACTCAGCAACACCAGGTATGGTCCTTAAAAGTTTCACAACATGCTCCTTTGTATAAAATCACAGGGACAGACAGCAGCTGAACTTTTATGTAACAGTCCTCAGCTGTGAGCCCTGGGAAGCTGAACACAACCTATGTGAAAGACACAAAACTACAGAACCATTTGAGGTTTGTATTGGGTTTGAGTGGCAAGGTTTTGGTAGCGGGGAAGCTACAGAGGTGGCTTCTCTGAGCAGCTGCTAGAAGCTTCCCCTATGTCAAATACAGCCAATGCCAGCCAGCTCCAAGTCAGACCTGCTGCTGGCCAAGGCCAAGCCAACCAGTGACAGTAGAAGCACCTCTGTGATAATATACTTAAGAAGGTGAAAAGTTGCTGCACAACACAACTGCAGCCAGAGAGAGGAGTAAGAATACACGAGAGAAACAACTCTGCAGACACCCAGGACAGTGAAGAAGCAGGGGGCAGAGGTACTGTAGGCGCTGGAGCAGCAATTCCCCTGCAGACCTTGATGAGGCTGGGTCCCTCTGCAGCCTGTGGAGGTTAACAGTGGAGCAGATATCCACCTGCAGCCCATGGAGGACCTCATGTTGGAGTAGGTGGATGCCCAAAGGAGGCTGTGACCCCATGGGAAGCCTGAACTGGAGCAAGCTCCTGGCAGGACCTGTGGCCCCATGGAGAGAGAAGCCCACACTGGAGCAGGTTTGCTGGCAGGACTTGTGACCCTGCAGGGGACCCACACTGGATCAGTTTGTTCCTGAACGACTGCACCCAGTGGAAGGGACCTATGCTGGAGCAGTTCATGAAGAACTGCAGCCCACGGGAAGGACCCACATTGGACAAGTTCATGGAGTACTGTCCCTCATGGGAAGGACCCCACACTGGAGCAGTGGAAGCGTGTGAGGAGAAAGGTGCAGGAGAGACAAGGTGTGAGGAACAGACCACAACTCCCATTCCCTGTCCCCCTATGCTGCTCAGGGGAAGAAGACAGAGAATTCAGGAGTAAAGATGAGTCCAGGAAGAAGGGAGGGGCAGGGGGAAAGTGTTTTAAGATTTGGTTCTATTTCTCACTACCCTACTGTGATTTGATTAGCAATAAATTGAATTAATTTCCCTGAGTCGAGTGTTTTGCCTGTGACAGTAACTGGTGAGTGATCTCTCCCTGCCCTTATCTTGACCCATGAGCCTTTTGTTATATTTTCTCTCCCTGTCCAGCTGAGAAGGAGGAGTGATAGAGCAGCTTTGGTGGGCACCTCGTGTCAGCCAGGGTCAACCCAGCACAAGATTAAAGCCTGAATTAATTTCTGTCTTACTGTTGTCCGTGTTCATTTGCTAAGTCTACTTTTTACTGAGCAGGTTAATAATCACACGTGAATAGAAGCATGAGTCCAATATAGCCAACAGTAGTCTACATACAGAATTCCAGAGACTGCGCAACTACATTTGATTAAAATCTAGTACAATGTATTTTATTATCAAGATGGTAATCATGTTAAGAAGTAAATTGACACAGGTGACAGGCTGCAGGTCACGTAACCTTTTAAAATCTTCATCTTGAACATATCTAAGTCTTCATGAATACACAGCAAATGCATGCAGCTCGTATTGCACAGTAAATTTGGATCAATTCCTCTAGGTTAACTATTGTGAGACAACCTCCCTTCACCCTGCAGCACTCAAGATAGCTGAAAAACTGACATTTGAATTTGAAAGTCTTCATCCACTTTCATGCTGATATAAAATTTATCAGTGCTATTACACAGAGATGAAAAAAAAATATTAGATCTCATACCATCCATATTTTACTTTGGAGACTTCACAATTTTAATGATGCTTCAAATGCTCATAGAGCTCTTTACTCCTCGCACCACGTGAAGATGATCTGTATCATTATACAGTCTCTTCAAGTCACATCTCAGTTTTTTATGGAATTTATCTTTTCCTTATTTTAAGGATCTGTGTTGAATACTGCTCTTTGAGTACAGGTTTTGTCTGCTAAAATTTCTAAAGTAATATCATAACAAAACTGCATGCCCAGGACAGTATTTCATTAATAAGCATAATCTCCATAGCCTGATTATGGTGTCATTACAGATGTCTGGTTCACACTTTCCACCTTAAACTCCCACAGAAAAAACAGAATTTGAAGTGTTCACATTACAGATGCACACAGGATATAAACTTGGACTGTGGCATTTTCTGTTGTCAGATCACTGGGAAGCCTTCACCAAAGCCAGCAGAAGGCCACAAATCCACATTGAGCCTACATATTAGCCCAGATACTTAATTACTTGTTTCTGTGGAAAGAAGGGGCCTCAACTGGGCTACGTTTTGCTATGCTGCTCTGTATAGCTTTGCACAAGTCAGCTCTTGGGTGTCATTTCCCTTTTACCTTTTCTCTGCTTCATTTTACTATTCATGCACTATAGTTGCCCTTAGCTGTGTAAGACAGCTTCATGAACTCCTACGCTTATTATTTACAAATTAGAAGTTCACAAGAAATAATAAATGGATACATTCAACAGAGGCCAAAAAGAAATACAACTTCTGTGATTGAATTGATTTCAATTTTTTTTTTCTTTTTATATATATAACTGACTTAGTTATCTCTACTCCATGCATTTCGGTTCTCTTGTTGAAAGAAATGCATATAAGATCTTAATATCTTCCTGCTGCTAAAACGTTTTCAGTTCTTAGGGTGTAAAACTGCATTATAACAATGAGGGAACTGTGCAAGCATACTGTAGGCTTCTCTGATATCTCTGATTTAAACTAATAATACAGGAGAAACTGGACACACATACAGGCAAAACCAGAACATGGGTAGAAAATAGAAGGAGCTTTCATGTTTTTGAAAACATGGGAGTCATCTTACTTAAAGCTAGGAGTTTTACTTCGCAAGGTCTAGATTATTTGAGCTATGTTCAACTTAATCTCTTACAGATTTTAAAAAGAGAGGGTAGAAAACGTCTTCCCCCCTCTATAGCTGTCATCTCTGACAACGATCAAATTACACCAAGCAATAATAACATTTAAGAATTATGCAATTCAAATTCTTAGGCTTCTTTGATAAATCAGCAGCTCTCTCTACAAGTTAGAGCTTTCCTTTTTTCTTGAATGTGATGCTGAACCCGCCTTCTAAAGTCACGTTACCCTCAAGAGCTCAGCCAGCTCCAAGCTGAAGACAAGGTAGTTTTAGGTGAATAAAAAGGGCAGTTACAGCAGTAAACAAACCATGTTGTACAAATAGAAAAGGGGCAGATTTGATGCTTCAGTTGCTGTGTCGGAGGAAAAAAGTTCTAGTAGCATATTAAGGTGGGGGAGGGATGACTCATGTAATTTAATTAAATATATATTCAAAATTAACATCATCATCACCTTATTTGGAATCACCCTGATCATAAACTGACAGGATGTTAAAAAATTTGTTAGATCTTACTAGAGATGGCTAACTTTCTGTTATCTCCCATGAAGAAGTGTTTCATTTCTCACTAATGCTAGGATCATCTTTTTGATTGTCAAAAGAGTGTATCTGTCATAATGTTTCTGTCTTTCTAAGGCTCCTCTGAATGAAAAATCACAATCCTCATCCAGCACCAAGTGCAGTTCTAAATTCTCAGCAGCAAAATGCTGGGTAGAAACACTGCCAGAATACGAGACAAAAAGCAAGCACCACCTTTGCACTGCTTCCAGTACTTTCACATTCCTTTCCAAAGGGCATTATTTCAGAGATCCAATAATGAACATCTGAAGGACCTACACTGTCAACTTCTTACAATACTTCTCTTAACAGTTATCTTCTCTTTCAGGACTGCAAGCAGAGCTACAAGTAAATCATGCTCCTCTTCCTCCTCCAATTTAAGAAAACGCAGATGAGTTATCAGGTACTTCAGTACAGATCTCACTAGACT